AGGAGGTGGGCTCTGCCCCAACCACCCTGCTGCCGGCACCTACCTCAATCTGCCGCACCACATCCATGCCCTCCGTCACCTCCCCAAACACCACGTGCTTCCCGTCCAGCCAGTCTGTTTTATCACAAGTGATGAAGAACTGGGAGCCGTTGGTGTTTGGGCCAGAGTTTGCCATCGATAACAGCCCTGTGATCAAAAAGTGCAGTGTTATGGCTGGGGAGGGAGCAATGAGCTCCAGCACGTGAGCCGCTACTTCGACCCAAACCCATTCCCATGCTCTGCAAAACGCTGCCTGTTTTAGGAGAGCCTCTGAATATTAAACTCCACAGAAACTATTGGAAACCAGTTATGTCAAGAGAGAAACATTTGCAAGCATGAAAGATGGAAAGTGGTGGAAATTGCTCATCTATTTTTAGTTGCAGTAATAGAAAAGCTGTTTGTATGGAGATAAACCTGCTTGCTTTTTGCTGCTTTTCACAGTCACACATAGAATGCTGTGACATTCCTCCTTTAAAATCAAACAGGAAAGCAGCTTTGAAACTCTTTCTCCATTATTAATAGTGGAAATTAACAGCGCATGGATAGAGAACGACTGATGCATTTCTACTTGCCAGTGATACAAAACGGTCTGACCGCAACAGATAACACTGCGGCAGAAGCGTTTGGCCAATGTAGATAATAATTCAGGGCTGCTACTATCAACATGGTCTGGGTGTCAAAACAGCCCAAGTGTGGCCCCTAGATGATGAGAGCCATTTGCTCTCCAGCCCCTGCCTGGGGAGATGGCTCTACCTGGCCCCGTGTGTTTGAGAATGAAGTTTTCATCATCAAACTTCTTCCCATAGATGGATTTGCCTCCGGTGCCGTTGTGGTTGGTGAAGTCGCCAGCCTGGCACATGAACTGGGGGATGATGCGGTGGAAGCTGCTCCCTTTGAAGCCAAAGCCTTTCTCGTGGGTGCAGAGGCAGCGGAAATTCTCTGTTTGGGGGCAAAGGGGAGAGAAGTGAGAGCTGCGTCGCAGCTGAAAGGCACCACGCTGGGGAGGCTGACCCTCTCCTCACCTACGGTCATGGGCACCACATCTGAGCGCAGGAGGATCTGCAGCCGCCCTGCAGGTTTGTTTCCGATCTTGATGTCCATGTAAACCTGAGGGTTGACCCGGGATTTCTTGGCAGGAGGCTCGCCCTGGGCAGGAAAAGAAAAAAAAAGCAAGTTGAGATGACATTCCTCTGCTCTGTCTCCAGAGATGGCTGACCCCGCACTCTCAGTCTTTGGGATAGCAAGAATACAGATGGCTTCAGTTGTTCTTCCTACCTCCTGCACCTCTGTTTTGGGAGCCTCTGCTCCTGCCTCCTCTGTGTTCTCCTCCAGAGTCTTCCCCGAAAACTTCTTCAGCCAGTCATCGTCCGACCAGACTGCGAGGGCAAAAGGAAGGGTCAGAGCACAGGAACCAAACCAAAGGGCCACGCGTGAGCACACACGCGGCTGCACGGGTCAGGGCGCAGCACGGCGCTGGCAGCAGATCGCACCCGCGGTGTGGGAGCACTCGGCTGGCAGCAGCCTACCCCAAAAGACATGGAGTGCAGGGAAATAAGGGACAAAGTCATCCCTTCTCTCTCCCAGAGGTGCCACACATCACCGGGCAGGGCAAGCTAAGCTCACGGCCCGTTCCCTATGACTACCGCCTCGCAGGGCAATTGCTCGGGATGGCCTTGGCCCCATCTGCTTTTACAGATGTGGCCAGATGTGTGGGTAATTCTGCCTGGCACATGTGTGCATGCTGTGTCCTCTGTCAGAGGGCATGAAGGCAACTGGAAGTGCAGCCAAGAGTACTTCCATCCAAGGAACTGGGGGATATTTTTGGTTATTAGGTTATTTGGTTATTAGAATGCTAATAACCAGATCCACGAGATCCCCGAATGGGAGGCAGAGCAGAGGTCTCTGCCTCAGGGTCTGGGGAACCAGAGAGAAAGGCTAATGCACAAAGCTCCGAACATCCACGGGGATGCGCTCCCCTCCTAGGCACCAACTCACCAGGCCTGGATGATCCCTCTTTAATTCGCATTGGTTTGGCCAAGTTCACACGAATCGTCCTGCCGAAGAGCTCAGATTCATTCTGCAGAGGAAAAAAAACCAGAACAAAGCCCACCACAGGTAAAAAATCACCGTGCCCCCCAAATCCCTGCAGAGATCAGAGGAAAACAGAGCTTGCTTTCTCCACATAGCCCACACGACACAGGGCCTTGCTCTGTGCTACTGGGAAGATGGCAAAGCCACGCGTCTCCGCAGACGAGTGGGAACAGGGTCCGTACCATGTTGTCAATAGCTGCTGCCGCATCCTGCCAAAAAAGCAAAAGAAAATCATTATTGTTTCTTCTCTCTCTACCTTTAAAAGCAAGGCTCAGCCTACATGTGCCCCAGCATTTCGTTGCAGAAAAGACTGCCAAAGGACTGTTTTCCTAAACCTCATCTACCCCAGGGCTGTCAAAACTGATGAATCTTGCAAGAGCCGTATCCAACCCAGTATCTGGGGCTGGTCTTCCCACAACCAATCCAGCAAACCCATTTTATGTACAATGCTTTATCGCTTACATAGAATATCTGGGAGGAGAGATCTTGTGTACGAGGCCCAGGACAGATTATAAGACAACAAATATATGACACCCTGTGCTGCCCAAGAAACCCACCCGCTGCTGCTGAGCTCCTGGGACAGCAGCAGAGCAGTTTGGGCCAGCAGTGGCCATGCTTCAGCTCAAAAGAAAATGGGAAAAGCAAGAACTTGGAAAGGCAGAAGAGCAGCTCCCGCTGCTTGATAACAATCCGAGGCTGTGGCTGATAACCCCCGCCTGCTTCCACCGACTGCAACGCTGCTGTCCCCTGGAAGAGGATCCAGCCCAAAAACACCACGGCAGGGAGAGGAGGGCCCAAGCAGCTCAAGCATTTGCCCCTTTCTCACCTCTGCCAGCTCAAATTCAATGAAGGCAAATCCCCGGTGCTTTTCTGGAGAAAGAGAGAAGCAAGCGGTCACAGGCAGCAAAGACACAGCGGTCCCCCGCAGTGGTTGTGTCCCGTGTCCCCCCCGGGGAAAACTGCCCGGGAGGGCTCGCTCGCCCCCGAGGGGATGCTCCGACGGGAGCCCACCCCCGAGCCCCC